TTTTTTTTTTTTTTTTTTTTTTTTTTAATTTTTAAATAGTTTATTGTCGGAATTTTAATCGAGATGTGGGATAAATTTTTCTTTTCTTTTCTTTTTTAAAATGATTTTCTCTTCATTGTCTTCAGCAGACAGACTCCCTTACAGTATAGCACCTATCTGGTGATGGTGGCGTCGGCGTATGATTTGTGGCTGGAAACCTTCGGCAAAAATACCTCGAGGGTTAAATGTAAAATAATTTGAAAGCTTTTGGTCAAAACATTTCAGGATAAATATCAAAGAAGTAGCGACTTGTAACTTAATTGGATTTTCAATTCAACAAATAGAAACAGAATTATAGAGGCTTTGCATCATCACGTGATGACAGCCATGACAGGAGGCACAACAATGGAGCCTTTTCCCCCAGGGAAGCTGATTTTTTCTCATGTAAATCAGATTAGACCAGATCAATTCTTCCTGCCTCCTGTCATGGCTGCCATCACGTGATGGTTCAAAGCCTCTTCATATTTACCTATCGCTCCAAGCCCATTGGCCTTCTCTGTTATGGTCATTAAGACCAATCCACATGAATGATTCTCCGAGATTAAACTTCTTATTCAAGTCCTTAATGATGAAGTTTTCTTCTTCTTTGCTCATGACGCTTAAAAGATCCGCGTTGGATTGAATACAGTCTCTTCTTGCTTCGAACCACGTGTGGTAGTTCCTCTTGACGAGATAACAATAGATTCTATTGGATCCAAAAGGATGGGATAACCAGCCATCCGGGCAATTATCTGCGTTAAGAAAAGTAGAGTTAAAGCTATGGCTCGATTTGACCAGAGCTGGAAATGCAGCTTTTTGTTTTTATCAAGGTTAATATCAGGGCGGGCCCATGAAAACAAGAATGGGACAACCATACACCCTTGCATTTGTCTGTGTTAAAGAAAAGTAGAATCAAAGCCATGGCTCGATCAATCCAGAGTTGGAAATGCAACTTAAAAAAACTGGTTTCAACACCCCAAATGGGAAATCACTGGCATTGCTTTATAGCTCATGGAAAGTCTGAAAAACAGTGCAACGTTTTTGGGGAACAAATGTTGGAATGAGATTTTGCTGTTGGTTAAATGTTGAGCTCGTTTGTGAGGGTCCTAAGATATGCTTACTTCTCGCTGGAGGCGTAGTAGGTTGAAAGTGGATTTTGTCAACGCTGCGCCATCTTACTCGGAACCTTGGTTGCTGTTGTCTTTTAGAAGTGATGTGTAGTTTGATCCTGATGACGTTTGAGTTACTTTTGAATGGAGCTGAAACCATTGAAAACGAGAATGATAAGTTAGAGAAATGATAAAAAATGGAAAACATGATTGTTTATATGGATCTCCTGGATGGATGGATGGATGGATGGATGG